GGCCAGCCTCAGGTCACAGTGACACACATCTTTTAAAAACTATATGTGAAAATATGTATGTATGCGAACATAATCAAGAGCCAACCAGATAGCTCAGCGGACTAAAGCACTTGCTTAGGCAGAGGGTTGGGGGGTTTGATCCCCAGCGTGCCGTTCTGGCCCTGCCCCCGGGATGCGCTGAGACGGCGATTGAGACCAGTCTCAATGTGGTGGGGTGCACCTGTAATCCTAGCACTTGGGAGGCTGAACACAAGAGGATCACTAAGAGTCCGATCTCTGTAATGAGACCCTGTAGACCCTGTACTGTGCTAAATACAAAAAAAAAAAAAAAAAAAAAAAAAGGAACATAATCAGACTGTTACAAAGACCCCAAGGAAGGACCTTGAAAGACTGAAGGTTATGAAAGGGAAGGCTTCCACTTTCTATACATGTTATTATTTATTTTTAAACATATTTTGAAATTGTTTTGAGTTTCAAAGATAAAGTTCCCATATACTCTCTGTCCAGTTTAACATCTTACAAGCCCAGGATCATTCCATTTATCAGGGGCTGGGGAGACAGCTCAGTAGAATAAGTGCTTGCCTGGCAAGTGCAAGGGTCTGAGTTCAGTCTCTGGGACCAAAAAAAAAAAAAAGAAGACATGAGCACCACGCACTATTTTGAACACATTTTATTCAGGTGTTTTTCATTGATTTTTTTTTTTATTCTGTCCCACGGTTCTGTCCAGGACACCGCATAACATTTAGTGGGTAGACATATGAACTATATTTTGAGAACAGATTTTTTTTTTCTTTTGAGACAGGATTTCACTGAATAGCTCAGGCTGTCCATCTCACTTGTAGCCCTGGCCTCGAACTGTCAATGATCCTCCTACCTCAGCCTCCCAAGTGCTGGGATTAAAGGTATGCACAAACATGCCTGGCCATATTTTGCTTTTTGAGACTAGAAGTAAATGTTTAAAAAGATAATAGGAGGCTGAGGCCAGGGCTTGGTGGTAGAGCACTTGTTCTGCATGAATAAAGCTCTGGGTTCCATCCCCAGCGCGAAGTTAAAAAAACAAAAGGTTAATAAAAGTTTTTAAAGATAATCATTAGGAAGCATCTCTTTCAGTATCTTTAAGGCTTGATTTACTGCTTCTTTCCCCTGATGTTATCAAGGGTTAATTTATGGGTTTAATTCAACCTGAGACCCTACAGGTACAAATTCCCAAATGTATCATTTGTAAACTCATTTCTATCACATCTTTCTGTCTTCATTCAGATTATATATCATACAAGTACAATTTTCCATGAATTAAATTCAATCACCGATTCATCAAAATACTGCAAAAAGCAAAAACAAAATAGAGATCCCGTCTCTTTCTCGGTGCTGCCTCCAGAGGTGGCAGCCATCTCCCACTTGGCACCACAGCGGCCCTCAGACCCCTCGTGAAGCCCAGGATTGTCAAAAAGAGGACCAAGAAGTTCATCCAGCAGCAGTCAGAACGATGTGTCAAAATTAAGCACGACTGGCAGAAACCCAGAGGCATCGAGAGCAGGGTGCGGAGGAGGTTCAAGGGCCAGATCTCGATGCCCAGCATGGGTCATGGAAGTAACAGAGAGACCAGGCACAAGCTGCCCAGCGGCTTCCGGAACTTCCTGGTGTACAGCGTTAAGGAGCTGGAGGTGCTGCTGATGCGCGACGCGTCTTACTGCGCACATTGCTCACTATGTCTCCTTTTAAAACCACGAGGCCATCATGGAAAGAGTAGCCCAGCTAGCCATCCGGGTCATCAAACCCAATACCAGGCTGCACAGTGAAGAAAACGAATAGACGGTCTGCGTGCATGTTTATTTGTGCTTCAGTAAAACCACAAAAAAATGCAAAAAAAAAAAAAAAATAGATTCAAGAATAGTGCATATAGCATCTCTAGTCCACCTTTTTTTATCTTTTGAAACTATCAGATCGTTTCAAATGATAGTAATTGTACATACTAAATGACACCAAAATTACTCAGTAAAAAATTAAATGAAATATGATTCAGCAAAACTTTTCATAACTTTTACTGTTTGAGATGACTAGTCTATTGTTACAAATTAGAAACAATTTTAAGTCTACAAATTAAATTATGTATTTACAAACCTTGGATTCTTTTTTTTTTTTTTTTGATGGAACCAGGGATTGAAGTCAGACCTTGACAGGGAAGTGCTTATTCTACTGAGCCATCTCCCCGCCCCTAAATTATGTATTTAAATATGTTACATTGTTAAAGCTTTAAACTCTGTCTCCCCTACCCCTCCACTATTCAATTGTCTCCAAGTCCACCAAATTTTATTTATTAAAATCATTTTATTTATTTGGCCCAGGTTCTCACTATGTAGCTTGGACTCAACTCATAGTGATCCCCCGTCTCAGCCTCCCCAGTGCTGGGATTACAAGTATGTGCTGTCACGCCCAGTTCCAGGGCCAGCACTACACCAGCACAGCATGCAGTACCAGGAATCGAACCCCATTCCTTACACTTGCCAGGTGGCAGGTACTTAAACCACCAAGCTACCTCCCCAGCCCTCCACCAAATTTTAAAAAAACGAACTCAAGTTTTTTGCTTTCTTTTCCATTTTAAGTGAGTTGTTACAGCTTGACACGGTGGTGCATGCCTCTAATTCCAGCACTTGGGTGGCTCAGGCAGGAGGACTGCTGCAAGTTTGAGGTCAGCCTGAGCTACGTAATGAGTTCAAGGGCAGCCTGGACTACATAGCAAGACCCTGTCTCAAAAAGTGTGGAAAGTCTCAGTGGCACAATGCCACTGGCACAAGCTCAAGGTCCTGAGCTTGATTCCTCATACCAAAAAAAAAAAAAAAAAAATTAAGGTTTCATTCAAAATGAAAGTGTACTTCATTTCCGACAATTGTGTTTCACTTGATAAGTCATTTTGACTCAGCCTCCCCAGTGTTGGGATTACAGGGATGCGCCACCATGCCTGGTTTTGGGGCTGGCACAGTGCATCCGGGGTTCTGGGGCCTGCCAGCATGTAGTACCAGGCATTAAACTCAGGACCTTGCACTTGCCAGGAAGGTGCTTAGACTGCCAAGCTATCTTCTCTGCCCTGTAGTTTACTTTCAGCTCTGTGGAAAACAGGTGTTAGCTATTGTTCTTTGTATTGTCAAAAAAATTTACAATCCACAAATCCTATTTTCCTCCACTACTCTCAAAACTATGGAGGAAACATTATATAACTATCAAATACAATTATAAATATCAAAAATGTCTTGAGGCAATAACTACCATGGTACAAAGGTACCTCTTTTGTTATCTTAAGACCAAAGGTCTATAGTTCCCTTAGCACTCAGTGGTCCAATTAATATTCTTCATGCACAATTCCTGAAAAGCTGTACACTTTATGGAGAGATGATTGCTGGAATAAAACGTACAGTAAGCCTTGGAGACAGTGAGAAAATAGTCAGATCCAAACTCTATTTGAATGGCAGAAAAGAGTGTCTAACATTTTGAGCCCTGCCATCAAGGAGGCCAAACATGGGAGGAGTTTGTTGGCTAGGTCACCAACAGCCTGCCTCAGCTGGCAATAAAGTCAAAACTGTAAAAGCACCATGTCCCTTTGCTCTTACTACACAACAGTTCTCGCTCACAAAGTTTGCCAATTATCAGTTTTAGGGTCTACAGGGTCTCACTACACAGATAGAACTCACAGTGACCCTCCTGTTTTCAGCCTCCCAAGCACTAGTTTCTGTTATATTCCAATTCATTTAAGCCTTGTCTCACCTGAAAGCCCTGGCTAAGAATGCCATCAATAAAATGACCATGGTGTCAACTGCTATCTCTGCCAGCTTTGAAACTGAGGTGTCATCAGGAGGGGAAATTTTAGCTCATAGCCTTTTTCTCCACTTACCTCCTGCAACCTACCCCAAAATGACACTGAAGCTGAAACAACTAGATAAGTCACTTTGTCGCTTTTTAAATTGTGAATAATTGAACCAAAGAAACCAGTTTTGATACATAAGACTTCATAGTAACCAGTGTGTGCAAGTGTAACCTTAATTACGAGCAATGCAGCATTTGCTGGCATAGCACAGCAGTGTGCTTATGAGCCTGTTCTGGGACTCACTCCTAGAATACCTGAGTTGGCCCCAAAATTCTCAAAAGCACTTAACACTTAACAAACCACTTCCCCACTTGGTTGGCTAGTCAGCTTGGGTTGCAGGAGTGATCCCAATTGTCTAAGTTTAAGACATCAGTCTTCAAAATATGAAACAGTTCCTATGATGGTTTAGATCTGGAATGTCCCCCCAAAACCTGTTAGGCAGGGGTCAGGAAGGTGGTTGGAACTGGGGCTGCTGTACTCATGGATGGACTGATCCATTGCTGGGGTCAGCAGCTGGGTGGGCACCCAGGAGGCAGGCCTGGGTAGAGGTGGGTCGCTGACCTCTCTCCCTCCAAGGCTCTTTTCTCTGCTTGCTGGCTGCCCAGACACTGAGCAGTCTTCCTGTGCTCAGGCCCTTCTACGATGCTTTTGCTTGTTCAAGGCTCCCAAATATGGACTGAAACTTGTGAGTTGTCAACCAAAATAAACCTCTCCTTTATGTTGTGGGAGTGTGGGGCTGAGATCAGACAACGAAAAGTATAGGAGGTTCCTATAGTCATCTGTTCCTTCCCAACATACATCACAATTAGCTTCCTCTCGAATAAGGAAGGAAAGACACAAGTCAGCCACCTTTGTTCTCACTCCAAGGCTTTATTTCCACAAGGCCTTGGGGAAAGGGATCCCAACAACCCTGTTTTGACTTCGTAACTGAGAAGAGCAGCCTACTTTCAAGCATACCTGAGAGTTACGATTTCAGTTAAAGGCCATGGTCATTCTAATTTTGAATTTGATTGTTAAACATTAATATACAGTTTATTTTTTTTGCAGAACCAGCGATTGAACTCAGGCCCTTGCACTTGCCAGGGAAGCGCTTATTCCATTGAGCTATCTCCCTGGCCCAAAAGTTTTTGTTTTTGGTACCAAAACCGAATTTAGGACCTTGCACTTGGCATAATATACAGTTTAGAAAATGTATTTGTACAAGATGGAACTTTGGTATTGACAACTTTTATGAGGGAAATGAGAGACTACGAAAGCAGTTTCTGTTATTTTGCTAAATTGTAAGGATTTCCCACATTTATATAAGTTCACAATACTCAATAACCACTTCCTAGGTGATCAAAACACTTTATATATGAAACATTTATTTCTGTAGGATATATTTTCATTTACACTTGAAATAAGAACCTGCAAATACTTCAGTAAATGATAAAGTGACCCTAGGCACATGATCTGTAATCAATTCAGTAAGACTAATTTACTGCACCTTAATTCCACGTATAAAATGGACAATTTAAAAAGTGTTTTGATTGGAGAAAGTGGAAATTAAAGAAGACAGGTTAGGCACGGTGGCACGTGCCTGTAACTACAGCAGTCAGGAGGTTGAGGAAGGACCATTGCCTGAGTTGGAGACCAACAATGGGTTACAACAGCAAGTTCAAGGCTAGCCTGAACTATATAGTGAGAATCTGTCTCAGTAAAACCAAAAAGAAGTGATGTGTAGGTTAAAACATAAAATCCTTTCACATTGCATTTTACATTTCTAAGACACTCTATAAGTGGTGAAAACACAAGATGGTTCTCTCGAATTGTATTATAATCCATTGGTTAGTAAGTCCTCTTGACACATTACAATCAAAAAGTTCCATATAAAAACGATCCCATGTATTCTCAGTTATTGGGGAATCCCAAGCTCTTCTTTACAATTTTGAGAAAAATGCAAATAAATACATTTGAGGTATTATAGCAATCCACACTGGCCGTACCAGGCACCTCAGTACTGTGGAAATGTCTGATCGACCTGGGCAGCCCAAGCCATGAGGCCCCCTGCAACATCGCGAACTGTTAAACAATCTAATTCTTGGGCTGCTGTTAGAGACTGCAGGATCCTCACGGCTTTTTGGGAATCATTTCCCAGTTTGCAAATCACATAAATGCAGACAGCGCTCTCCTGTGTGACCCGATTCCCTTCCTGGATTGCTTCTCTTAAGAGTTTTAGGCTTTCCCTATCTTTCCGTTCCAAATGTTTCAAAGGGACATGTAAAGCATGAGGCAAACGACAGATGTCCACCTCCACTTTAGGTCTAACATCCAGCAACAGATGGGGTGCCCCAGAATCCAGAAGTCGCTTATAGTCAGTGACAGAAATGCGCTCCTCGGGGCTCAGTAACAGCAGGGAGCGGCACTTATCCGTGGCTGAGGAGCCACAGAAGTCCTCATAGTCCTGTAGATCAGCCACTGTGGGCCGCTCTCCGCAAGCCGCACAGTCGGACCTGCGCCTCCGCAGCTGAATAGAGCGGAAATACCCACTGAGCGCGTCAAAGAGCAACAGGCTTCCACTGTAAGAGGGACCCAGGCCCGCAGCGATCTTCAGCACTTCCAGAGCCTGCAGGCAGCCCAGAACCCCAGTCACGACACCGAGCACCCCGCCATCGGCGCAATTGGTCACGGTCTCCGCCGGGGGTGGCTGGGGAAATATGCAGCGATAGCAAGGCCCGCCGTCATAGTGGTAAACTGTAATCTGACCCTCGAAACGCAGGGCGCTGGCCGACACGAGAGGCCGGCCGGCCAGCACACAGGCGTCATTAACCAGATAGCGAGTGGGGACGTTGTCAGAGCAGTCGGCCACCACGTCATAGCGGCGGACCAGGTCTAAAGCCGTGGCTGGGGTCAAGGCCTGGGCGTAGGGCACACACTCTACTTTCGAGTTGAGGCGGCGCAGAGAGGCGGCGGCCGAGAAGGCCTTGGCCTGGCCAGCCAGGGCTTCCTCATGGAGCACCTGGCGGGCCAGGTTGCTCAATTCTATGACGTCGTAGTCCACAAGGCCAAGGCGGCCCACGCCGGCTGCCGCCAAGTACTGCGCCAGCGGGCATCCAAGCCCACCGCAGCCCACGATGAGCACAGAGGCGGCGGCGAGGCGGAGCTGGCCGTGCACGCCCAGTTCTGGCAGCACTAGCTGCCGGCTATAGCGCAGGATCTCGTCTCGGGACAAGGCGGCCTTCGGCGGTAGCGGCGACACCGGAACTCGACGCTCTGGCTCTGGCTCTCGCTCCGCCGAAAGAGCCGCAGCCAGCTGCTGCTTCAGGGAACTCAGCTCCTCCTCACGCTGAGCTACAGCAGCTCGTAAGGCAAGCACCTCTTCTCGGGAAGCCATGATGACTTCTCTCGGAAGTTGTCGCTCAATGACTTCCGTTTCCGGCTTCCTTTCTGACAGCGATGGAACAAACTAAAACCCTTCACGGAGCTTGATAAAGGGGATGAATAAAAAGGCATTTCTGGGATAAGCTTTCCGATTCACTGTAAAAGATATGTGTATCCTGCATAGTTACAATGAACCGTAGAGGCTCACAGAGGCGCGAGGAGAGTGGAGCTCGGCCACACGCCACCCCTGCGGCTCGCATTTGGTACGGCCCACTCCGGCTTACGACATTCCGCCTCCGGCGCCTCGCGCAGTTCCGCCGTGGCCCCCATGGAGGAGAGTCGTGCGCCGGTCGGGTCTCCCCGGGAGCCGGAGGGCCGCTCCCGGCCCCGCAACAAGTATTCGGTGCTGTTACCTACCTACAACGAGCGCGAGAACCTGCCTCTCATCGTGTGGCTGCTGGTGAAAAGCTTCTCCGAGAGGTAGCGCCCCCGGCCGCTCTCCTGGACAACAGAGATGAGCTGGCTTCCCCCGCCGCGGTGTCGGCGGTTAGCTGCGCGAGGCGGCTCACGCAGCCCGGAGGAGGGTGGCCGCCCTGCGAGGAGAGCGAAGGCGGCTCCATCGCGGGTTTCCTCGGATCCGGGGTTCTCGTGCTCGCTGTTGGGTTTTGTGAGATACTCATTTATCTTTGTTATGAACTCTTGTCCTCCTCCGCCTTTTTCTTCCCGCCCCCACCCCCGCCTCCGTCGTGAGGCTGGAAGCCTGATCTCACCTAGCTGGTTGAGATCTGATACCGGTACCGGGAGCCTAAGCGAGCGTGAGCAGCTCCCCGCCCCGGAGCCGAGTGCTTGCTTATGTAAGCGTGAGGTTTGGTCTGTGGGGTTAGAGAGCTACTACTGACTGCTGGGCGGGATAATCTTTTTGGGAAGGAGAAAGAGGGCATCTTCCCTCATCACCTTAGGGTGTTTAGTGTGGTTGCTAAAAAGGAGAATTTTGGAATTAGAATATGGGAGTGTGACGCATTTTTTTTTTTTAAAGAAAATCCTATCAGTAGGGAGTAACCTGTTTTGCGCTTAAACAAATGGGAACGTGCTGTAAAAATCTGATTTTCCCCTATCAGAACAGCAAATTATTTTGAAAGTTAGGTAACATTCCATAAGGCTGTGGTGTTTATTTGGCCTGATCATGTCAGTAAATACAGGTGATATGCAGTGTTTTATTTGGCTTTTGCGTTATAAGTGGAATAATATGATCACGTCGTATTTTTTAACAGACAAGTGCGTGGCACATACAGTAGTGAACTTGCCTTTATTAAATTAATGACAAACAACCTGTCAACCCGAATAGTGCTAGACTTACAGTGTTGGCAATACTTATTGGTGAAAATCATTGCTGTTTTGATTATGCATTGAATAATTTTCTGCACATACGTGACCCATCCAAGTTATTTTTTTGTTTTTGTTTTTGGCGGAACTGGGGATTGAACTCAAGCGCTTGTTCTACTGAGCCATCTCCCTGGCTGCTCAAAGTTTTAATTAATGTGTTTTTTTCATTTAGTAGTTTTTTCCATTTGATTCTGCAAGTTCTTTCCAAATTACAGATTAACCATCTTGTTCTGAGTTTGCATTATTTTACTATTTTTTTCTTTATTCCTTGATTTTATATATAGTGCAATTTATTTTTAGTGGGTTATGAATGGACTTTTGAGTATCAGAAAAGAAAATTGCTTCTCTCAGATGCAGATTACCTGACGGGTCAGCTCAGTTTTATTTCCTTAAGCTGTCTCACCATAGGTGATTTGGCTGGTTTGTAGAGGGAAAGGAGAATAATTTCCCTTGTGACTATTTTGTTTACAAAATACCTCTTTAGCTAGAATCAATATCCTAGAGTTTTGGCAAGATAAAGTACTGTTTCATAAGTTAAGGCACAGTGGGAAGCTGAAGTCATTGTTTCTGTTCTTGAAAATAGAAAATTGGGGTTTTGTTTCTTGAAAATTGTTTGGGTCCTCTTATAAAGCTTTTAACAGAATGTGACTTGGTTTATTTCCTTGCCTGTATCTCTCAAAGCAAAATCAAGAAGAAACAGTGTTGCCTCCTTTTCTTTCCGATTAAATTTCTTAATGTGTTAGAGGGGGTGGGAGGCAAATACAGGGGAGACACGTTAGTGATCGTACATACATTTATGCAGTATTAACTCAACAAATATTCTTTTGGCTTGTTTTCAGACTAGAAACTATCATGTAAATTCAGTGCAGTTTGGTAGTGTGGGTTAATGGTTTAGCTATTTAAAATAGGGGTTAGGGGCTGGTGAGATGGCTCAGTGGTCTAAAGCACCTACTTAGAACAAGCTTAGCAAAGCACAAGGACCGCGGTTCAATCCCCCAGCACCACATGCCAGCCCGCCCCGCCCCCTGGTGGGCTGAGTTGGCCACACACACACACACACACACACACACACACACACGTAAATAAATAAATAAATTTTAAAAAAATAAAATAGGGGTTAAAAGCTTGTGACACCATTCTAAGCTTTTTAAAGAGTGAAATTAGTAATTTATTCCTGATTATCAGTGTGTTAGTATGAAATTTAAAAGGATAATTACTCAAGGTTAATTAGTTTCACTTGCCACTTAAAGTATATTTTAAAGTATTTTGGGCCAGGGAGATGGCTCAGTGGAATAATTGCTTCCCTGGCAAGCGCAAGGGCCTGAGTTCAATCCCCAGTTCCCGCAAAAAAATAAATAATTAAAATAAAATAAAATATTTTATGAAACTAGGATTTGCTGTTAAGGATTCACACTTTCATTTTCAAATAGGCAAATACAATTTTATGGGGTATAATGATTTTATGGGGTTCATACATATAAACTGATTTTTTTGGAAGTATATTTTGTAAATGAAAACAGTATTTCAAAAATATTTTTTAGCAACATACTAGATTTAGTAAGTAAAGTACTAAATCTTTGATATTTGATAATTGAAGTTTTCCTGAGTGACTAGTATGGTAGTAAATGTACACATTCACTGGTGAGGAGTAATACTTTTTAAACTATTTTAAAATTTGAAATTCTGTCTGCAAACAGTAATTCAATTTTTATTTTAGTGGATTCAACTATGAAATTATAATCATAGATGATGGAAGCCCAGATGGAACAAGGGATGTAGCTGAACAGTTGGAAAAGATCTACGGATCAGACAAAATTGTAAGTACATGAACATTTTTCTGTCATGAGTTGTGTTTATGTGAGGGAAAGACAAGTAAGTAATGCTTTAATGTAATCTATTTGCTTAGAAACTGAAAAAGAGCAATTTATGCCTTCGGGATTTTTTTTTAATTTAATTAAATGTATTTGGTACAGGGTCTCACTCTGCAGCTCGGACTCATAGTGATCCTCCTGTTTTCAGCCTCCCCAGTGCTGGGGTGCTGGGATTACAGTGGCCACCTCGGCCAGCCCAAGGGCAGGGCCAACCCAGCATGTGGTGCTGGGGATTGAACCCTGGTCCCATTGAACCCCAGTCCCTGTGCTTGCCTAAGCAGGGGCTTAGTCTAGTGGATTCATGGTAATTTTACAACAGGAATAAGCCTTTGGATGAATTTTTTACTGCTGTGTCTGCAGATAAGTTATTGTTTGTTTGTTTGTTTGTTTGTTTTAATAGCAAAGGGAAAGCATGACACTGATTTGGCAATTGGTGCGTGTTCTGGCTCCCTTTTTGCAACCACTCTTCTACTTCCACTGGAGAACACTGCCTACAGTTCAGAACTTGTAGGTGGAAAAGATGATTCTTTTCCTGTGGAGCACAGATGATTTTCCAGAGCACTTGCATCTTTTTTTTTTTTTTTTTTACTGGAGATTGAACTCTGGGACTACAAGCGCTTATACTGCCGAGCTATCTTCCTGGCCCCTAGCACCAGCATCTTAATATTTAGCTGTGGAACAATCTTGTGAGGGTGATTTGAGTTTCTGAATGTTAAACTTCATGTTTTCTACTATATTTGGTTTTTTTTGTTGTTATTGTGTTTGTTTGTTTTTTGTTTGGCAGAACTGGGGATTGAACTCAGGCTCTTGCAGTTGCCAGGGAAGCACTTATTCTACTGAGCCATCTCCCTGACCCCCTCTACTATATTTGAAAACTTGTTCTTCTATAGGAGTAACTGAAGCAAATACAAAATTTATAGCTTTATACATTTTATGTTTGATTACAAGTTTGGACTTTAAAATGTTTCCTCCTTTGGATAATTTTTGGACGAAAAGCATATAAAGATGTTTTAAACTGACAACACATTCCAGACATTAGATATTTATTTACAGTTTTAGTTTATTATAAGTTAGTCTCAGTGCTGTTAATCATGTTCTTGATCACATCCTATTCTTTGATGTGAAGGAGATTTCTCGGGTAATGGATGATGTTTACCAGTAGCCATGGCCTCGTCCCCACTAGACACTGGTAGCATCCCTCCTTTCTGTGTGGCAACCAAAAATGTATCAGGATGTTGTCACATGTCCTCAACGGGATAAAACTGTTCCTTCTCCCTACCAGTAGACAATAATTCTTACAGCACCAGAAGTATAGTAGTCTCTTTGGGAAACTATTGATATTTGCATCTCAGATAGTAAACATCATTACCTTAAATGCATTCACTAAGCCGGGAACATAGCTCAGTGGTACATTGCCTGCATGGTAAGTACAAGATCTTAAGTTTTATTTCTTCTACTCCCCGCCCCAGAAAAAAAAAAATCAATCAGGTCCAAATAGTCTTGATTACTCCCCAGATAATTTCTACAACTACTGTTCAGTTGGAGGCCAAGGTTAATTATAGATTTAGTTGGTGGGGAATAGTTTAAAGAAAATGTGTGAGACCTTGCCTCTCACCCCCGGCCCAGGGTATTGAACCCAAGGCCTTGGTGGGACATGTGCCCTCTAGGATCTTTGAGCCTATCTCACAGGTGATTCATTCACAGATCTGCCAAACTTAGAAAATCTCAGGAAGTAAGAAGGTAATAAATTTTAACTTTTAGCTTCCTAGGAGAGACTTCACATGCTAATGCTAGATTCATATTTTTGGCCAACAATTCCTTAGCTTTTTGGGGGGGTACCAGTGATTGAACTTGAGACCTTATGTTTGCCACGCAGGCACTTATGCTGCTGTGCCATCTCCCTGGCCCCTCAACTCTTTTAGAAGTTCTAGGCTTTGAATTATATGGTGTCATTTAATCTAGAACATCAGTGTGACATTTTGTGTTTTTTTTTTTTTTAAATCTTTTTATTTTAAGATCTTTTATTTATTTATTTAATTTCATTTATTTTGTGTGTGTGGCCAGCTCAGCCCACCAGGGGGCGGGGCTGGCTGGCATGTGGTGCTGGGGGATTGAACTGTGGTCCCTGCGCTTTGCTTAGCTTGTTCTAAGTAGGTGCTTTAGACCACTGAGCCATCTCACCAGCCCCAGTGTGACATTTTGAATATTTTATTGATAAAACCTCAGCCTTGAGGATGTAGTTCATTGATTTTAGGACCGCTTACTGAAACAATATTGGCCTCAAAGAATTTCCTTTTTTCTGTCAACCTAATTAAATTTAAAATAAGGAGAAAAAATTAGCATTCACTGTCATTTTCCTGTGGTGCCAGATCAAATTCCCCCTTCCTTCATCATTTTATATCCTTTAAATCACTTAAACTATAGTAGTCACATCCCTAACTGGAGTAGGGATTAAAGTGGGCCTGCTATAATCCCAGATACACCGGCTAGCCCATGAGTTGTAGACCAGCCTTGACAACATAGGAAGACCTGACCCCATGCCAAGATAGACTCTTACCTGATTTTTTAAGTGTCATATAAATGTTTATTTGGGAGAAAACTATAAAAACCATCTTGAAACCTTTCAAACTGGAAGGAATGTTTGGGGAAAAAAAGCAAAGGAACCGAAACTTTTTAAAATTCTGTACTGAGGAAACGTGAGACAAGCAGTTAAGTCATTTTCCAGAGTTACACTGCTAGCTTATAAGCAGCAGTGCCGGGACCACAGAAGAATGCGGAGCCCATACCCTGAACTCTGGACATTGCGTACAGCGCAGAGACCTGAGAGTGTGGAGATTTTAACAGCACTGTTGGGTGCTTTGTAAAATGTGTTTAATCCTCCATTGTGAGATGATAAGCTCATCTGTGTTTCACATTTTTTCATTTTAAGAGACACAATTGACAAAATTGTACCTATTTAAAACATACAGTGTGGTGATTTAGAATACAAAATGATTATCTTAGGTATGAAGTGTAATACTAATAACTTGGAGTCACCATGGAATACATTGGAGGGAGCCCTAGCTTACTCATATTTCAGAATTATTTTGTAATTGTATTTAAGTTCTAATATAATTAGTACCTGTTTGCTAAAATGTCAAATACAAGTTTGACAGATTTAATTATTTAAAAATAATAAATTTCTATCCCAAAATATCCAGCTACTATAACAACAAAATTAATACCCTAATCAAACTACGAGTAATTTGTAAAATAACCATAAATGGCCAATAAATATGAAAGTAAAGCACACTAATTAGAAACAACTTGAACTTATACATAAGGAATAATTGTTTTGTTTTGTTTTCCTTTGAAATAGGCTGTCACTACATAGCTCAGGGTGGCCTTAAACTCACAGAGACCCTCCTGTTTTAGCCTCCCAAGTGCTGAGATTACAGGCTTGTGCCTCCATGCCCAGTTTATATCAGTTCTTAGAAGATGTAAATGTTTCCAGGAAAACTGAAGTTGCCTTGAATGGGCACTTCCTATTCTGCATTTCAATCCCTTGCTCAGGGCATTGATACTTTGGTGTATGGTTTTTTGTGCATACATGTATGCACATATATATGTGTGTGCATGCATGTGTAGAACTAAGTAGTGTAACTAATGATTTAGGCTGCCCTTGAACTCACTTTGTAGCCCAGGCTGACTTCCAACTTGTGATAGTTCTACTTTTTTTTAAAATTTTTTGTAAGGATACAGGGTCTTACTGTGCAGCTTGGAATCATAGTGATCCTCCTGTCTCAGCCTCCACAGCCCTGGGCTTACAGGTGTGCACCACCACACCTGGTTTCAGGTCCAACATGGTACATCCCAGGTTCTGGGGCTAGTGCACAACATATGGTTCAAGGGATTGAACTCAGGTCCTTGTACTTGCCAGGCAAGCACTTAGACCCCTGAGCTATCTCCCTGGCTCTGTTTTTTTTTCCTTTTTAAACAGAACTAAGTTTTACATCATTACTACTTGTTAATAATATCTGGAAGATCTTTTGTTACCAGATTCCCACGTTTCTTTTAACAACTTAATGCTATAACATTGTTACAGTATATTAAGGCTTTATTCTTGAGAATTAAGTAATAAAGTGATTGTTTTATGATTTTCCAGCTGCAATAATGTAATAGAAAAATCTCAGTTTAACTTCAAAAGATTTGCTTTTTTTAGAGCAGATATAAGATAACAGTTTATTGTCAGTAACAATCACAAACTCACATACAATCTCACTGTGATTTAATATATCTTGCCTGATTTTGCTCATTGACTTCTAATTATGGATGATTAAATACAATTATAGATGTTTTCTTCCCTATGAGCACTTATTGGATAGAGGTGTATTGTGTTCATCTTTGTTCCTCTGCAAGCCCTACAGTAGTATGCATGTAGTAAAGAAAAAGGGAAAAAAAATAATTTGTTCAGCTTGAACTGAAAGAGCTTTGCTTAGAAATGTGCACTTTGAGGTACTGTGCTCATGCCCGGGAAGCGCAGGGAGGGGCGTGACAAGCCCCCTGGTTTCCACCCCGAAGGAGAAGACTACACAAAGTCGGGCTCCAGGTAGGAAGAGAGGCTACAGGACTGAGTATCTGGCAAACTGTAAGGAACAAAAAAAAAAAGTTAATTTTTTTGCTAAGGATGTAGCACGTTACTTGCCCCGGTAGAAAATGACCTGAGAGTTAGTGACAGTGGCAAGTAGAATGGGTGGAGAAAGAGTGCTGTCAGTAGTTCAAGTGACAGAGGGAACTGAGAAACTAAAGTCTAATGAATTTTACGAAAAGTTATAGAATAATGAATTAAGTCATTAGTTTTTCTAGGAAGTAGTAGGTATTATTTAAAATGATAATTAATTCAAGTAATAGATATGTTTACAATAGTAGGTGACACCAGAAAAAGTTAAAGATTTGCCTGTAAGCTTAGACTTAAGAGAATGTTGCTTTTCTTTAAAACCTCTATTAAAGCTTTTTTAAAAACTATTTTGTTAGTTTTTTTTGTTTAGTATTTCAACCTTGGTAAAACTATTAAGCATATTATGCTTTAAGGTCTGTAAATGTAACTATTTGTAATAAAAATATGAGAGTAAAACCATTTTTTAAATAGATTTTTAAATTTTGTGTTGAAATGTTTCTTATTTCTGTAGCTTCTAAGACCACGGGAGAAAAAGTTGGGACTCGGTAAGAAAAATCTCTTTAACTTCTCATAACTGCTATTGCCTTGGTAAAATTATCCAGTGTGCATTTTCCCAGTATGGAACAGGGCCAAAGTAGTTACCTCCTGTGGTACTTTTTATGATCCTGAGGACAGTAAAGTGGTTTAATTTGGTTTGCTGTGTGCCACTCATGGCCCATCAAAAAAAAACCCAAGAGACCCTGCATGCCTTTCTTACTTATTTTTTTATTCATTTCTTTTTTCTTAATGGCACACGTTTGTGGTACATAATGAATATGCTGATCGCGGGGTCAGTGCATATACATTCTAAGTCTCAGTAGTCTTTAATCCCCCTTCCCACTCCTCCTCGCACCCTCCCTCCATCTCTAGATCCCCCCTCCGATCTACAGATCTCTCCCTGTTATCTATCATCTGCATTTTGCTTTTTAAATTATTTAAACTTTAGGAGTTTCTCATAGAAGAGAAATCATTCAATATTTAACTTCCTGTGTCTGATTTATTTAGCATTATGCTTGCAGGTTGCATCCATTTTCTGAGAAATGACTCAAATTTAACCTTTTTATGGCTGAGTAGTACTCCACTGTGTAGATACATTACATTTCCTTTGTCCACTCATCTGCTAATGAACATACAGGCTATTTCCAAGAGTTAGCTATTGTGAGTGTGCCTTGGCACAGTAATATCTTTAACTGTAGGGAAGATGGCCAGAAGGTTATGTTTGGGTCCAATGAAATTGCTATTCTTAGGTTTTTGAGGAATCTCTATACTAATTTCCTACATCCAGTGTAGGAAATATAACACAAGCAATCTTGTTACATAGGCAAAGAAAAATGTTGAGAAGCAGATGGAACAGATCAACTACCTAGAGAGTAATAATAGCTGGAGGTTATCCCTGCTCCCCCGAGTGGAGCCGAGATGAGAGGAGGTGAGGCCACCAACCTAGCAGGAGCTGAAGTTACAGGAGGAGGGAGCCTGGCAGGAGCTGGAGCCTGGGGGACACGCAGTAAGTGCTGAGACAGTGAGGGAGAAAGGAGACCTGGCCTTTCTGTTTCCCTCCCACAGTTCTCCAGCGTGTGGCAGAGGCTGTCTGAGAGCCAGTTCACAAGAAAACCTAGGGAAAATGGCTCCTTACAGTAGAAGATAGACTAGGAAAGGGCCAGAGAGGGAATCTGAAAGAAATTCTAAGATTAAAATGTTACTTACTTCTAAGAAGAATTTGTACTCTAAACATAGGGAACTATGGAATATCTATCTCAAGTGAACTCAGTAATTCTGAGGTGAAACTCTGAATTTACTTAAAGTTGTTTGTGCTGAGTATTGATATACTTTTAATGAAAAATTTGAAGAGCATAAAGCATAATTCTTGAAATTGGAAATCATAAAGGCCATCAGTTCTCTGGCATTATTGAATGTTCCGAATATCTGAATCCATAGGGTTCTTTGGGATTGAAATAATGTAGAAACTGCCATGAAAGCCACCAAGAATTACTGACCAGTGCTGGTGAGATGGCTCAGTGGTCTAAAGCACCTACTTGGAACAAGCTTGGCCAAGTACAGGGACCACGGTTCAATCCCCCAGCACCACATGCCAGCCCGCCCCGCCCCCTGGTGGGCTGAGCTGGCCACAAACACACACACACTAAAATTAAAAAAAAAAAAAAAAAAAGAATTACTGACCAGTCAGCAATACACAAAATTCGATACTCATTTTTTAACCAAAACTGTTAGAAGAGCTAGGTTTTGCTAAGATTGTTCCGGTTTGTTATGGCTTGTGTCTAGATGTCATCCTAAAGCCTCATTTAGTTATAGGTGGGGCTTTTTCCCGGTGGCTGGGTGTAGGGTGTGTGATTGATGCTGGAATTCATTCATGATGCAGTGCTAGGATCAAGGGTACTAGGATTAGGGATGTGAATGCCACCTGCCTTCAGTAGCTTGGATAAGATAGAAGGGACAGGAAGAGCTGTGGTCCTCCCTTGTTGCTTCTGCCTGCGATGAACTTTTTTCCCTCTCTGATGCCACCCTGCCTTACAGGCAGGTAATTATGGACTGAAATATCTATAAGCTAACTATCCTCCTTAACTTTGGGTGTCAGGCATTTTGTCTCAGCAACAAAAGAAAAGTACCTTAAGACATGTTTTTTTCTTTAAAGTATTGTGTGTATTTTGATACATCGTAATTATATTTGTGGGGTACAGTATGGCATATATGCGACCCTCAATGTATGATGGATGAAGATTGAGATATTTGGCATATCAGCTAAAGCTCAGTTTGTGTTGGGAACATTCACTATCTTTACTGTTTAGAAGTATACAAAACCAGGCATGGTGGCGCACACCTCTTTGGGGGCTGAGGCAGGAGGATCCCTGTGAGTTTGAGACCAGCCTGGGCTACCAAGTGAATTCAAGGCTAGTTGGAACTGCATAAAAAGACCCAAAAAAGAGAAAGAAATATACAATTAATTGTTGCCAACCATATTTACCATACTGTGCCATCTCAAACATTAGAAGTGATTTCTCCTAATTATGGTTTGGAGCCAGAAAATGCAGAAATTCCCAATTCCTCCTCCCACCCAGTTACACTCACAGTCCAGATCTCTTGAGTAAGAGACTGGAGGCATAAAGGTGGCTGAATCATTTATTTGTAGGTGTGCTGGTATAACCAAGTTTGAGTGCAGATGACATTCAGTGGGGCCAGGGAGCTGACTCAGTAAGAATAAGTGCATCCCTGGCAAGTACAAGGGTCTGAGTTCAATCCCTGGTTCCGCAAAAAACTACATTCATTGGGTAGCTTTTGTGGAAATGAACTTGGCATGCTAGAAAGAGCAAAAGCAGGGAAATTTAAAGTAACTGAGATGAACGTGAGGGTGGAGACGAGAGAAAGCAGGCAGATGCAGGGACCGGGGTTTGATCCCTGTCCTGCCACCCTGCCATGCCAGCCCCACCCCCAGGGCACGCTGAGAAGATGAATGAGATTGGGCGTGGTGGTGCAGCCTGTAATGCAGGGCTTGGGAGGCTGCAAACAGGAGGATCACTATGAGTCTGATCTGTGTAGTGAGACCCTGTAGACCCGGTACTAAATCCATTTAAAGAGAGAAAGAGAGAGGATGCTTTGAATATAGAATCAGTAGGACTTAATTACACATAGTCGTTGGTAAAGGCAGGAAGGTCATCACTTGACTTGTCAGTTTGTGGCATTTTCTGAGATGTGGTCAGATACAGGGGTAGGAATTGGAGTCATTATTTTGGGAAGTTATTTAGAGTTGTATGAAATATCCAAGTAGGAAGCTGATGTGTAAATGTGGCTTCCCCCCCCCCCCCCCCGAAATGCCTTTAGGACATTTCTGGTGTGCCATGACTATCTGGGTTCAAACCACAGAAGCTTGAGCTTGAGGGCTTTGTTTAAGCAGGCACTTAAGCAACTGAGCTACTGGGCAGGCCTCCTAAATGTGACTTCTTTAGCGTCTTGATACTGAGGAAGCACCAATGTGAAGATTTTTTTTTTTTTTTTTTTTTTTTTTTTTGGTGAAGATGGTTTTTAAAACCATGAGAATGTGTTAATGTTTATGTAATCTAAGACTGGTAACTGTTCATTGCTTGAGTGAACTATGTAACTATGATTTCTTTTTCCTATTATTTTGGCATCAGAATAGGAAGTAGGTGACCAGGTACCTGCTTGATTATATTTGTGACGTATGTGAACTGTATACTTAACTGGAAAGTTAGCCATTTGTTGATACTACTTTTAGAGGAGTAACATTGGGCTTTTGACTGCCGAACAGTGTCTTCCCACTCATTTTTGAGCAAACATTTTTGGTGATTTTCTTTCATGGATATAAGCACTTTCGTTTGCAGGAACTGCATATATCCACGGAATGAAGCACGCCACAGGAAACTACATAATTATCATGGATGCTGACCTCTCCCACCATGTAAGTGACACATTGTTTACTACTTCATCATGATAATCTTATCCTTCTTTACTAACTGTTTGTTCCTTCCACATTTCAGCCAAAATTTATTCCTGAATTCATTAGGTAGGTACTAATTTCTAATATTTGAAAAAAATGATTGAAACCAGCACTGTTTTTATACTTGGCTATTTTAAGTTTTCTTTTAAAAATATAGATTTGGGGCTCATCGATATAGAGGTATATAGTTACTGATGTATTTAGGAGACCTCAGGATAAATAACAGATCATTTCTTTGTAACCTAAGTTTTTCAGAACACAGAGGACAGTATGGAATGTGCCTGCGTGCATACGCACATGTACATAAGCACACACACACACACACACACACACACACCCCATTCTCTGACCTGGCCTTGTGCCTCTTTCCTTTGCTTTCCAGGCCACAGGCATACTGTCTCTCACTTCATAGTCAACATGGGGCTCTTATGTTCTTTGCTTGATATACTCTCTTCCTCCTCTTAGTAGCCACTGCTAATGCTTTGATCTCTGTGAAGTCACCTGAGACCCACTTTGCTTATGTGTCTAATACTCAAACACATCTTTGCATGATAATGGGATGGAACCAGTAGAGTTGAAAATTGTGGAAAGACACAAGTTAGATGTTCACCTTAGGACTACAGTGGAGGAAGTGCAACGTAAAATAATGATTTCTCATTGGTTTGTCAAAGTTAACTTTTAGAGAAGTAATATCCAGTACTCTTAACATGGTAACATTTAAATACTGCTCTCAAAAGTATGGGTTCTGGGGGGCCTGGCCTTAGCTCAGTTGTTTAAGTGGCTGCTTCCACAAAGCTGTCAGCCTCAGGTTGCTGTAGTTCGATCCCCACAACACTCCAGCCAGCCAAACCACCACTGAGGGCATTTAGAGCAAAAAAAAAAAAAAAAGTATGGGTTGCTTTAACCAGTGGAAAATAATTCCTAGCAATATGTTAGAAATATGTTTATTATGGTATTATTCATTGTGATTTAGTTATTAAAGGGAGGGGAGCCCACTGTGAAAACAGCCACAGAGGTCTTAGTTGAATACTTTACTATTTTTGCAGCTATTATAGGGAATAGGGAAGATCTGTATTGGTCTATGGGGATGTCCATGATTCTGTGATGTATGTTAACAGACAGAAAGCAAGTTAGAGTGTAATTTTTTGGATTTCAGCTTTGTAAATGAGACCCCAAACTAAGGAGATGGAGGTCTTTCATTGTTTTCTAGAAGCCTAGAGAAAGGTTTAGAGGACTACCACACTGGTTTTATATTGTGTTTACTTGGCTGGGGTGTGGGGTGGGGAGTAGGGATAGGGGAGTATGAGCAAAATAAAAAGATACTGGTAAAATTAATAAGTTCACTAATACTTCTTAGGATGATATCACATGATGAAGACATCAAGTGCTGTCACAGTTTTATTTTTTTTCTCAAAAATGATTATAAGTGAAATAGAATCAGGTTTGAAATTCCCATTTTGAAAGCTATTTCAGTAGATACTCCATTTCCTTGATACTATTTTTCCTTAGTGTTAAAGTTTTATTTGTGTAGCTTATGAAAATTCCTATTGAGGCAAGAACTTTTTACCATTGATATTTTTTTTTTTCCTACAGAAAGCAAAGGGAAGGTAATTTTGATATTGTCTCTGGAACTCGCTACAAAGGAAATGGAGGTGTGTATGGCTGGGATTTGAAAAGAAAAATAATCAGGTAATATACATGTGCTCTTGTTATTGGTGTAACCACTAGAAATATATTATTTGGTTCAAATTATGCCTTGAATTCAGATTATAACTGTTCATAAATGAATGACTTCCTAGATAGCTTTTTTTTTTTTTTTTTTTTTTTTTTTTGCGGAACTGGGGATTGAATTCAGGCCCCCTAGATACTCCTTTATTTTATGTTTTTCACCGAGTAAGAATCATCATAGACCTTTGAATCTTTGGTAGAAATTATCTCAGCAATAGTTTCTCCACTTGCCTGCCTTTCAGTAGATTTATGTGAACTGTATGTTTTTGGACTAACTAGGATTTTCTCCTAACACTTTAACATTGCTAACCTTTTTAGCAATGTTAAGTAAATAATAAGACATTTCATGATTTGATTAAGCCACATAAAATAATAGGTCTTTGGAGTTGGACCTGGATTAAAATCTTATTTGTCATTTAATTAACTGTATTCCCTGCCTTACCTTGAATTTTTTACCATGTTTAATCTACCTCACTTGTACTTTTCGGGATTATAGGAAAAGGATATATGTTTTCCTATCATTCATCTTTCTTTTATCACCCACTTGTTTCCTACTTAAGATTTCATTAAGTTCACCTCAGTTCTGTCTCAACTGTGGAAGCTTGAGGCAGTCATTTAAAACATTTAAGAGCCCAAACATCCATGAAATAAAATGGGTTTAAAAAGGCAGTCATTTTCTGTCCTGCTAAACATTGGAATTGGATATGGAGAAAATCATGAAAAACTACCACGACGTAAATGACTGACTTAGTCTCCAAAAGTGGGCTGTAAGCACCAGCATTTGCACAACCTCCAGATGATTGTCTTGTGCAGTCCGTGATCCCCAAAGGCATTCTGAATTTGGTCATTCACCTGCTATTTAAAATCAGGGCATCACAGAAACATCACAACATTTCAGTTGTGTCATGTAGTTGTAACTTAATAGTTATTAGTGTCCACATTGTCTTAGAGAGCTAGAATTCAAACCTAGGCTGTCTAATTTAAAAATGCAGTGCCTGGTGAGGTGGTGCACACCTGTGTAGTCTCAGCTACTCAGGAGACAAGGCAGGAGGATTGCTTGAACCTAGGAGTGTAAAGCCAGCCTGACCAGCAGACGCTTCCTGAAAAAAATAAGTACTACCTTGTATAGATATGCAGATAAATATATACATATATACACATACTTTTTTCTTAAATCCAGTAATCCAGTTTTTGGAGGTAAACTGTCCAGGAATATTTTTATAGCTAGTAGAAACAAATTGAAAGGAGAAAAATGCTGGCCTTCAGGTCAGAGCTAGCCCCTGACCTTGTGATTTGCATAAAGATAAAAACTTTTGGGGCTGGGGAGATGGCTCAGTGGAATAAGCACTTCCCTGGCAAGCGCAAGGACCTGAGTTCAATCCCCGGTTCTGCCAAAAAAAAAAAAAAGAAAAGAAAAAACAGTTGGTAATTTCCAAGTAAAATACAGGATTTTCACACTTACTTTTGCTGACGGGGCATATGTGGAGGACCACCTGGATGACTCTCCTTGAGGGAGGAGGAGTTGTCTCCATCTTGGCTGTGCCTGACCCTATTTCCATTTTGATAAGGAATTGATATGTTTGGAGCCAGCAAGGACTTTTGCTTATCCCTTCCATTGGCTTTCAGCAATGCATATTGATCCAGCCACATTGCTGATGTACAGTCTTTGACACAAAGATAAAGCAGTGTTTCCTGGGCCCCTGTAGCTACCGAATAAGAAATGTCTGAGCTGCCATGGGCAGGGATCAGGGCATAAAAACTACACATTAGAGCTGAAGCACCAACCCCAAAACATGAGCTACTCTCTCAGTTGTGTTATGTAGATTACTCTTTCTGCATATCCTTGTCTCTGCAGAGGCCTCCTACCTAGTCCAGCTCATGGTACTCCCATACTTTCCATCATCCTCAAGCCATTCCCTTCACACATGAGTAAAATCCACATTCAGTCCTGGGTCGAAGGACTTTTGTTTGGATTAACCATCATCTTAGCCAGACTCAGGACCCCCCTCTTGGTTCCCCACCATTTTAGATGTATTATTGTGTCTTTATTTATGCTGTGTGTTGTACTGGGAGTGGTAGATTGGAATTAACTTGTAGGATTCCAGTAACGTTTCCACAGGAGGACAGATAAAAGCCTGGGCCTGGATGAGGACCAGATGAGGCCCTCCATATCCTTAGAAACTATTCACTTCAGTCCCTCAGGGAAAACTTTTTCTGAATCTGAGCATATTAAATAGCTGAAGTACAACAATTGCTTTCTTTAGATAGGTGGCATCTTTTGAAATGTTAATAGTCCATATTAGTTGTGTTTGAAGTAATGACCCCAAAGTTGTTATGGACTGTTTATGAACCTGCAGTGTCTGGAATTTTTAGGTGGGTCCTTGAGAGGAACTTGTGGGCAGACCCCATGACCCCATGATGAGGTCAATACTCTCTTAAGCAGGGGCTGGAGACCTGCTGCTCCCATTGGCTCCCTCCCTTATGGGAAACAGTCTATATGCCCTTGTTATCTAAAGCATTTCCCTGGGCTGGAGAGATGGCTCAGTGGTCTAAAGCACCCACTTAGAACAAGCTTAGCAAAGCATCAGGGACCGCGGTTCAATCCCCCAGCACCACATGCCAGCCAGCCCCGCCCCCTGGTGGGCTGAGCTGGCCACACACACACACCACACACACACTCTCTCTCTCAAATAAATAAAATAATAAAAACAGAATATGACAAAAAAATTAAAATATATTTAAAAAAAAAAAAAGCATTTCCCTAAAAGTCATTGTCATGGACTGTTCGTGCTCCTCAGATTTTATTAAAGCCTTTTGGAATTTGGAGTTGGGACCTTTGAGAGATTGTTTAGTTTAGATGTCATAAGGGCAGGCTCCTTCGTGGGATTAGTGTCCTCTTAAGTAGAGGCCAGAGACTTGCTCTTTCTCCCCTGGGTGGATGCAGCAAGCCCATTATTGTGAAGTTCCCAGCTCCTAAAATGAAGAAATGTTTCCCCTGGTTAAGCCCCACACTGGGAGCGGGGAGGTATTCCGTCGCATTGGCCAGATAGACTAGGACTACTGCTGGAGTGAGTCAGTTTCCAGATGTCACACACACACAAAAGACAATCCTGCTTGCTTACCTTCTTGAAAAGTATTGTACCGGGCCCAGGGAGATGGCTCAGTAGAATAAGTGCTTCCCTGGCAAGCACAAGGAGTTCAATCCCCGGTTCCACCAAAGCAATCAATTAATCAGTCAATCTTAAAGAAAAAGAAAGAAAAGTATTGTACCATTTTTCTGTGGGCTAACCTTTTGTTCTTAACTGGAATTGCAAAAGGAACGTCGTTAAAATCTTATCTTTTTGTTTAACAAATTCCCTATCAGATCAGGGATCTCTTTTTGTCAAGTGTCCATAATTATAATGACTTGATAATTTTACACAGTGACTGTTGGTAAATATCAGTTCTATAACTTTTTTGTTCTAGAAGTTTGGGAGAGTAATTGCTCTGTAGGTCCCCCCCTAAATTTCACCTTCAGAAAATAAAATCTCTACTTCCTGAAAAATGAGTATTATATCTCACTTCACTAAAGATTTCTTTGTTAACATTTTGTGCTACTTTTATGAAATTGGTGTATCATTTTTGTGAAATATTCCATTTATGAAATAAGTGTAGCATTTTTAGCATTCTGGATTTGCTCTTGTTTCTAAACTGTTTAATAGAAAAATCTGATTGTTTTAATTGGCAGCCGTGGGGCCAATTTTATAACTCAGATCTTGCTGAGACCAGGAGCATCTGATTTAACAGGAAGCTTCAGGTAAAGTATAATTTTCTACTATTTGTAATTTCTTAGCTAAATTTCTTGTGTTACAATGGCTATGTTAAAGAAACATTTTTCATTCCATCCCAGTTTTGTTCTAGAATACTACAAAAGTAAAATTCCTAAGAAACTGCTAGTGAAGCCTATCTTAAGCAGAAGTGTTTTCCTTAAGTTCATCATCGGGCTCAGGTGAATGCTCTTATTCACACTGTGCGGTTTGGCTACTCCTTTGGGGTACTGCTGTTATTGATACGTACTCTATAAAGAATAGTAAAATTTCAGTACGTTTGGTTTTGTAGCATCAGGGATTTAACTCAGGACCCTGCACTTGCCAGGCAAGTGCTTATTCTTCTGAGCTATCTCCCTGACCCAAATTTCAGTAGTTTCTGGAGTTTGTGTAAATACAGCATTATATCTGCAGAAAAGTTTAAAATCTTAAATTATATGAAGCTTTTTCATTTACTTTTTTTCTCCTTCTTGTAACACTAGGAAGGGAACCCAGGGTCAAACATATGGGCAAGAGCTCTACCACCGGAGTTATACCTCCCCAACCGTCCCCTCCCTGCTTTGTTTTAATTGGGCCAATGATTTGGTCCCTGGAGTTTGTGTTTGTTCCTGGTGATTTGTGTGTGTGGTGTTCTAGATTTGCTCCAGGAGATGTGAACTGCTTTCTTGGCCGGGCCAAATGACTATAAATATTGCCTTTTATATTATTTGATATGTGCTGTTGTCCATTAAATGTCGATTGTCAGTGGCTTAAAACATACACAAATGAGAAGCTGGCTGTTGAATGGCAGATGAAAAGAAAAATGAAGCCTGTAGAACTAAAAAGGAAGTTAGAAAGCAGAGCTCAGTATACATCAAAGAAAAGAACCTGATAGACTCCTTCAGTTCCAATTTTAAGGCAAAGGAATCACATGTGACCTGATTAATTTCTCTGCTTACCATGGAGCAGCGATGCAGAGAATGAATAGTGATGTTCAGTCTGTACAGAAAGGGAAAGGCCAGTGTGAGCCACACGGAGCACAGGCGTGATGGTTTCAGGGAAACCTGAGGGAGGCTGCAAGGATCGAGGGAGAGTACTGGAGGGGGCAGCCTTGCCCAGCCCAGAGCCATGTGGGAATGAAGATGAGGGTAGCTGGAGAGCTCGGTTGCTCAGGACAGCAGTGATGGGGACTGTGATGTCTAAGTGATGGGAGCCAAACACAGGGGTGGGCTGCTAATGTCCCAGATTTTAAAAGGTTAAATCCCATTGTCTTCTCATGAAAGTCATGGTTTATTAAAATACATAAAGGTCAACTTGTGGTTGAACAGAAATTTTCTCATTGTCCTTAGATCCACACATTTAGGAGGCTGTACATTTTACTAAATAACAAAAGGAATCTCAGACGACAATCTCACAGGAAGCATATTAAAGCCATCATGCTCCTAAGCCTATTCATAGGATCATATGCCTACATAAGCAGAACTTTATTTCATTAGCTATAAGTTTAAAGATACAACTCAAGAGTGTGGGGAAAAGGAAGAAAGCTGTAATGAAAAGTGTCTTAAAATACGACTCTTAAAAGAAAAATAATTGCCCAATCCCATATTTAAAACATGTGCCATTACTGTCACAGTCCCATCTCCCAGTCCCAACTCGTTACTGAATGAATGAATGAATGAATGAATGAATGAATGAATGAATAGGTAAATGGTACTATCATCATGTTTTCTTCTCATTTATTCCAGACAAATTCTTTAAGTGGGATCTCTGGATAAAAGAATACACATGCTACTGCCTCAGTGTGCACACACACACACACAAAGCATCTGTCTTAGATCGTGTGCAGACCCCTTGCCCTAGGTTAGGTATAGCACTTAGACCCTTAATCCTGGCGAGAACTGTGCCAATCAGTGAGTGGACTGATTTACTGATCACTGACCCTTGATCACAACACCATGTTTGGCTAGCTCTGAAAATCCTGCGCCCTGTCACTGGATGAGGTTTTGGGGAGACATTTAGAAACAAACCATAACAATTCCCTTGTTCCAATATCTGGAGCAGTTTCTACCTTCACCTTTAAACATACATTTTCAGGAACTTTAGAACTAAAACAAATGAGTAGTTCTGAATCAAGTGATTAGTTTTACAATATTTCAATTTCTGATAGTATGATAGGAAAGTAATTCTCTAAAACGTAAGAATTCATTTTCAAAAATATACTAGTTAGAAATTTCGTGGTCTTTGGGATAAATGTATCGTCAGCTAGAACTTTTCTCTATACCAACAGCTAGTGAATATTGTAGCATTTATAAATACTTGAACTCCTTGAATGTTCAAGATATATACACACAAGGATACTTGACAGGTTTTCATCTGTATTGTGATCTCTTACAGATTATATAAAAAAGAAGTTCTACAGAAGTTAATAGAAAGATGTGTCTCTCGAGGCTATGTCTTCCAGATGGAGATGATTGTTCGAGCGAGGCAACTGAACTACACTGTTGGTGAGGTGTGTAACTGATCCTGTCCTCATAAAGGAACAGTGAGGTGTAGACTTGTGATGAAAAGCCAAATTCTCATAACTGTTAAGGTGTGGGCCAGTTGTTTCAAATGCCCATGCTTTAAGGGGTGATAATTCCAGTTCCTTTCAAATTAATACATTTGTCCTACTGTAAATTAAAAGCATGTTTTCCTTTTTTTTTCTTCATTGTTAGCAGTCAAACCAAGGATCTTAAACATGCTAGGCTGTGAGCTACATCTCTAACCCCAGCTTCTCCCTTTAACTAATTGAAAGTTACAGGTACCACCTCTATTCCGGTCCTTTCTTCTGATCACTCAGTATTATGGTTTGAGTCTGTTTGCCACTTTCCCTGTTGTAGCCAATACCCACCAATCATATTTTAAACAGAATGATGAATCCTATGTACCTGTGACTAATGAGCAAATGAAAATGGCTTAGAATTATAGAGCAAGGGCCTGGGGGACGTATAGCTCATAAGCTCTTCAGGAAGATTCTAAACTAAAACACTGCCTTAGAAAACAGCTACCCTAGAGTGCAACTTCTATAGAAATTCTAAGATTTTAAGGCTAAAAACACTGACAGTCAAACTTTAGAAACTGAGCAAATGAAATGAAAGGCTACTTTATCTTTATAGTTTCTCCTTGAAATGCAACCTGAAATCATCTGTGCTTTTCAAAGTTTTAGATTTGGTTTATATGACCTGTTATTAGGTGATAAAATGGATGTTTAATTTCGATACATCAGTGCTTTAAGATTCCCCTAGTTCTCAAGTGACAAAGCACCTCTGTTGTAATGACTGCCTGCTGAGCTGCCTTTTAGCTTTGTTTGAAGACCGACTTTAACATGTACTTTTTTTTTTAATCAGGTTCCAATATCATTTGTGGATCGTGTTTATGGTGAATCCAAGTTGGGAGGAAATGAAATTGTCTCTTTCTTGAAAGGATTATTGACTCTTTTTGCTACTACATAAAAGAAAATTACTCATTTCTACTTATGTTCATTTCAATTGAAATATAAAAGGAGCCCTCTTACTGATTGTTGTAACATGTACTCTTAGAGCATAACCATAAGGTAAGGTAAATTTTATATGAATATGTTGTTTCGAGAAACTCCATTTTTTACTTGAAACTAAATTTTAAAGTTACTTGCCTAATGTGCAGTGCTCTCAGTTTTCATTTACATTTTGCTGTATTAAGACCTGTAAATAAATGCACATGGATTTTCATATTAAATGTTACTGGTTTCTTTAGACTATATGATTGCAGAATTTCTTACATAGGACAGAATCTGTATAAAATATTCTTATGAAAACAACTCATAGCTCTTTATACTTTGTTGGGAGAGGAGTGTTAATTATGCTTATGAAGTACATATGGTGGTTTCCATATGATAACTTGTATTCCATAAAGCCTGAGCAAATATTTTATTTATCTATCTTTAACATAAGTATTTCAAACTGATAATTTTTTTTTAACTGTAACGTAGTTTTCCAGTCACATTTTGAAAACTGAGTAAGAACATACTTTGAGCAGATGAGCTTAGCTAACTTTGCTTTGCAAGTAGAAAGCATAGAGTGTGTCTGAATTATTCATATTTGGTGAACAGTATATCTTTTTATATTTTGAGGCTTAATTTGCTGACAAAACAGAGTCTAATAAATCATTTGCATTTCACCTCTGCTCTTACCAGAATAAACTAAAACCTTTTGTGATTCTGAGCATGAAACTTCTCCCCCAGGCCCATAGGTAAACCCATAACACACACTCTAGTAAGAGCCACTATGATTGTTTTGCCCAAAGCTATTTGGCTGGCCCACCAGGAATCAGGTCTTCTTGGGGAAGACTTATGTCATCATTAATAACTAGAAAATTCAACAGGTTTCATGTAAAATTAGGTTTAAGCTATAGTTAACAGAATATAAAGTGCTCGCTCTATTGTTTTTCTTTTTTTTTTTTCTTTTTTTTTCTTTATAAGGCGGAGTCTTTTCTGTATAGTTCAGGCTGGCCCTGAACTCACTTTGTAGCCCAGACTGTTGTCGAACTCACAATGATCCTCCTGCCTCAGCCTCCCAAGTACTGGGACTAGAGGCATGCGCCACCGTGCCTGGCACTTAATATTTTTGAAGGGTTGAGAATTTATTCTCTTTGAACCCAAAGTTTTCAGTATGAAGTATATAGAGTAGAAATTAATCAGTTTAGAGAACCTTACTGTAAAACACTGCTTTTCATACCTCACTAGAATACATAACTTTTGTCCTTTGGCAAGGAGGCAAGGAATGAGGAATCGAACTCAGGATCTCAAGCTTGGCAGGCAAGCACTACAACGCTGAGCTGTATTGCTGGCCCAATTTTTGTCTTTTTGGTTCTTACACTCATTACAACACTTCATCAGTATTGGAGTTGAGTAGTGGACACAGGCTATTTGGAAGTCATTTAGAAAGAGTCTGGACTATCTCGGTGCGTTTTTGTAGTAAACCTAGTGACATAAACTGCAAAATATTTTTAAACATATCTGAATACAGCATCTTTTTTGCTTCATGAAGCCAATGATGAAATCCAGATGGTTTCCTTTGTATTATCACTGTATAAAATCTAAAAATATCCAAGGAAAACTAAAGGATTACCTTATTTTGCTTATTTCATATAAGCTTTCTGCCCATATAATGCAGTGTGTAGATTCTTCATCTTCCTGGTCAAGTGTTTTGCCCAAGCTTCCCCTACTGCTTTTTTTTTTTTTTTTTTTTTACTTCTTTTTTTGTAAGATAAAAATAAGTGATACAAAATTCCAAAACAAGATAGGAAATTATGGTTATTACAGTACAGGTTATTTTCAAAGTAGTTGCTCAGATTATCAGATAAAGGCATGTACCATTGATCAAGCAATATACACAATGTTCCTTTCAGTGAACTAATAGAAATTAATAGTTCGATCATATATATTTTCCAGCTCCTGTTTTCTATTGAAATGCTGATTTGGCCCAAAAAGATGTTAATGAAATCGCAGAAATTAATGGAACAGTGTGTTAGATGAAAGTTAAACCTGCTAACCTAAGTCTTAGACATTGAGTATAGCCACCCACAATTCATACTAGTTAAGGTTCTTTTCAGATGTTATTATTTGAAAGTACTTTAACTTGTAAATTTAAACAGTAAAAGAGGTTTATTTACAGGCAACACCTTGAAACACTAGCATTGGCTAAACCTTCACCAAGGCATTCGTTACTTTTAAATACGTTTCACCAATGATACACTCTCAGATGTACTCTACTATGAAAGTTGGGTTGAAAGTTGTTGGGAATGGCCTAAGCACTCTGTTGCTGTGCTGTCAGGCTACCCAGATGGTGGGAGCACTAGAATTTATGGCCCTTGTGGAGGGCCACTAGCAACATCACTTCATCCCTCAGCTCCACCAGTCTAGTGGCCTCAAAACACTTGGGTTTGCACGTTTTTTCAGGCCAGAGAGAAGAGTCCATGACTGAGTTGGAGGAATGTCAAGGCCCAGGCCACAGCAGCCCTGTAAAATGCGGCCCTTGTCCACTGAATACTCAACCTTACCAGGAAGGGTTCAGGCCCAGGGACTGCCCTTTTCTCAAGTGGGCTTGTGAAGCACGAGGTCACACCCCACCTTTAAGGCAGTGTCCCTGCCCCTTCCAGCTGCCGCCCAGCCGGTGAGCGCGCCTCCGAGCACGTGGAGCTGCCCTGGGCTGCCCTGCACACCCCTCCTTCCAGATGTAGTCCAGGCTCAGCTGGGCCCGCGCAGGGATCCCCAGCACGGCCACCTGACTGAGTGCTGGGCGTGCTGCGGCCCGTTGCTTCTGCCTCCGCCGCTGGCGCTGCGGCCAGAGGAAGGCGCCCGCCAAGCACACGGGGCCTGGGAGCGCACTGCGGCCATTATCCGCGGCGCCTCCTAGTGGGTCAATGGCAAATCCTCTAGGTTCTCGCGAGAGCTCCCCTCAGTGGGGATTATATAATTTCCCTTAGTGGGGGTCGGGGTGCTGGGGGACCTTCCCCCTAAGAAAAGTTGGGTGCAGACATCGATTGAACTAGGAGAGTTAGATCTGAGAGACATGGAGGGAAGGGGTGCAGTCCCCCCCACTGCCCCCCCACTTGGCTGGACAATGAGTCCTCTTATGCTAATGAGATACTTACGTCACTTCCGCTCTTTCTCGGCCGCCATTTTGGCTAGGGCAGGTTCGGGGACTCGCTCCGAGGCGCTTGTATTGTCTGCCGAGGGGAGACGCGGGATCGGCCCCCTCCCCCGCCCGTTGCCGCTGCCGCCTCCGCCGGCCCGGTTTCCCCTCCGCCGCCCGCCGGGATCCATGAGCTGAACTCCCGCCCCCCGGCCGCCGCCATCTTGTGCCCCCTCCCCCTCCCGCAGGCACCGCTAAGGGGGATTTTGGCGTCTCCTCAGACACAGCTCCCTCTCTCGGTCCCCGCCGCCGAGGAGCGAGGGAAGCGCGGCCGCCGCCGCCCGCCCGCGCCGGTGAAGCCGCCGCTCCCACACCCTCCGTCTCCTCCCTCCGCCCCTCCTTTGTCTGCACCGCTCGACGACGCTGCTGCCGCCGCCGCCGCCGCCCGCGCGGGGACTGGAGCGAGC